ACAGTAAAACACAAACAGTCACTGCGCTTTAATTTCTTTTTAACAAAATACAGTTCATTGTCGAGCAGATTACCAATTTCTGTCGCATTAATACACGATCTTTCCAAGTAATTTTGGTTTTTATTTCTAGCAGATAGCTAAACCGAAAGGCCTATAGATGTTGCTGAACTACTGATGATCACAAGGAACTCAAACTTCCTGTATTGTTGTGAGTTCCTCCTTGTTCATGGATTAACAGTTTAGTAAATTTTTATTTCCACATTTCATTACCATTCAAACACCTTGTTTTCTTAACTATTTATCATCCTACTTGTCAACTGTTCACACTAAATTTTTTTCATTTTCCTTTGTCAGCTTCTTAAGCCCCCTGTATTCAGAGTACCTACTTACAAACTTGTTGGGGATGTTATATCCCAAGAACTCGCTCGATAAATACCTATATTTTCGATCAGTTGACCTTGAGATCACATTTCCCACCAGGAAAATCCTTGGCTGTGACTGATAACTGTGATATTTTAGTGTGTTATTTTTGTGACTGCCCCAAGGACGTCCAAATAGAGTATAAATAACCGCAACTTCAGTGCTTGGATTTATTGTGTGCTGGCTGGATGTTTGTAGAATATAATTTTTCACTATATCAAGATTTCTCTCTGATACAATTCGGTCAAGGGATCACAGTAGCCTACCTGGACGCTGGTTCATTGTTTTGTTCTCGTTATTCGATTAAGGTGAACTCGTAATAGTTGAAGCATATCTATAGACGAGCGTAACAAAACCCATATCTTACAAATCATATCATCAGTTAAGTTACAAGCTGTGCTCGAAACGTGTAGCTTCCAGAGAACCTGTATTCTTACAAGCTGTTAAAACAATAGAGCTTAGTCTAAAATATTACTGAAAACTTATCACTTAACGTAAGAGAGCCAAACATAACAAAATGAGGGAAGGTGGTGTATCTGACAAGCATTCATGACAGTGGGCGAATAACTTCAATCGAGACATGTTTGTGGGGCAAAGTAGGATGTAACTAGTCAGTGATATTACTGATGTTACCTTTTCTAGTCAACCACATCTACGATTCATGTTTGCAACCTTGAACTGGTTTCACTTACTATCGAATAATCCTATTACAAGAAGATATGGACAGTTTTATAGAATAAGAGCCCACTAATGACTGTATGCGCTGCAACGTCAGAAGATCAATAAATGAAATATCATCAAAGCATTAGATCATATTGCCTACATCATTTCTAACAATTTAGTTCTTTTTAAATCTCCTCTATTCATCAGATTATCTTCTATGCTGGTTATCTTACTAGTGACTGGTCTTTAGGTGACCTAAATGAGTGCAGGAGTAGAGTTAGCGTTGTAATTAAGGAGAAGGAAGTATCTGGATTACCTACCATACTTTTGTTTTATCGAACATAAATTAACTGCTGATTCATGACTCTACTTTAAAGAAGAAACTTTTCTGTTCTACTCCGTTCAGTTTTACAGTACCTCATCTTGCGACTTAAATAATACACTTCATATTGCCGAAGACTTGGTCTCTTTACGCAGGAGCCTGTTAAATTATTATATGACGAATTTCAACCAGAAGATCACTGCGCACTAATTTTCATCACCTCTTGTTCTATGCAGTCCTAGATATCCCTTGCATTCAATCTCAATCAGCAGTGTTTCGTCGCCACACAAACGACGTACCTCGTGCTAGCTATCGTATTGTAGAATGCAGAGTCTGAAACATTATCTACAGTTTCATGTGTAAATGAATAGCGCTTTATAAAAAGGCGAAATATACCGTTAAATATATATCTAACTAAAATTTGTATATTTTCAAGTACAGTTATGGAGATTACTGTTTTTACACATTTGAAATTATCAATCAGTCATTGTGTTAGAACACTAAAAGAAACCTGGAAGCACTAGATGGCCGTTTCGTCCCGGTGTGGGACTCATCAGATGTGCAGAAACAATAATCTCCATAACTCTAATTGAAAAATCGTAAAATGTGCTCAATAGTGACTAGCTTCGTGAGGAAATTCTCGGAATTCTAGTGAGAAGACGTGACCAGCGGAGTTCAACCCTGTCGGGTGTAGGCAGTAATCACCAAAGATAAACGTGTGAGGTCGCGCAAAATCTCTAGATCAATCAAAGCTAGACATTAACACCGTTTGCTGCCGGCCCAGTGGTCAAGAGGTTGCTCGTTCGTGTGCAAGACCGAAGGTCCCGGGTACGAATCCTGCGAAGTGCAAGAGTCGTGGATGCACACTGCTGATGAGTCACATACCAGGACGAAACGGCCGTCCATTGATTAAATGTTTCCATTGCTGGTCTAACAATGACTGATTGATGATTTCAAATGTGTAAAACATATTAGCAGTTTTAGCCATTTGATCTTGCACAAAAATTAGTTTGCCCTTTTCTTGATACAGGTATAGCTTCCTCCAAGGTCGCAGGATATGCGAGCAATACTTCGAGAATATTATTGATGACCAAATACTAGTACCCTAAGAATATCCTCTATTCCTTCTGGTCAATTTTTCACGCTCCGTATATTAGAATGGAGTATACCACTGCTCACTAAACGCGTCCTTCGATTAGCAGATGGATATCTCGCCTACACTGTAAGTGAAACAAGTAGACAATAGCCAAGTGAGCCTATGTATACATTTGAGATTTCGTCAGACAACAGACTATTAATAAGTAGTATACTAAGGTTGTTACTTCTGAAGATATTTTTACTTTAGATGACTTAAGTTCATGACATCTAAATAAACCCTGTAAGGTTTACTTTTCTTACGCTACATCTGACAAACGACAAAAATATGATCTTTCTGTTCAAAAACAGAAACTGTTCAGTTTTTCCCAAGGCCAAGCAACATAACGCTTTCTGTAATGATATCATTATTTCAAAATTCTAGCTAAGATAACAAGTTTCTCATCCAACTGTGATACATTTCAATAAAATGCTCAACTAATCTAAGTTGAACCATCATTGAGAATCTGGAAACATAGGATAACCGTTTCATATTAGTATGGGACTCATGAAACCGTGCATACTTACAAACCTGCATTCAAGAATCCAACCTAGGCTGTCCGATCTCACATATGAATGCTTAACATCTATACCTGCAAGTCAGTCAGTTACAACGTAGAACTTAGGTACTTAAGTACATCATTTCAGGTTTCCATACCACATTAGCACATCGCAACAACTTCAAGTTCAAATCCCATTGTCGTGGAGATAGTAGACGATATCAGATGTAATGCAAGTCAGTATCCAACTATATAAATATCTACGATAGTGCACGATCAACTTCCAATATCTTTGGCGTTTCATGCTAGACGAAGTTTAATTAAGTTGATTGCGGCTTCCAACACTAACTGCGAATTCCCATATCTAAACTATTCACTAGTGATTGTAGAGAGATTTTCTCAAATTTCATTAAAACAATGAATCACTAATTTTACAATACAAATACTGAAATTTAAAAAAATAGGAAGCAGATGAGATAAAAAATGAGTTGATATTAATATATATTACTTAATTCTGTTACTAGTTTTAAAGTTTTTTGTATTCATGAAAATTTTAAGACAATTCTAAGAAGCCACAGACTATTTTTATTTCTTCTAAGAATAATTATCGATCTTGTAGTGAATTTCAAAATATCTGACAGGTGGATTTTTAATAAATAAGGCACATATTGCGTAAAAGCATCCTGCTGTGTCAGAAGGCAAATCCTAAAGGTCGAAGGAGGCGAGCAAACAGCATCGGACGACGAGAATCAGTATCAAACATGGAAAGAATGAAATGGGAAGGAAGGCTCAGGACACAGTAGGTTGATGAATGCTGGTCAGCTACCTATCCTCTATTAAAGGGTAACAATCGTAAGTTTCAGTGGCTTTTGGAAGTGTATGATGACATACAATACTACTAATCTTCCTGTTATGTGTAAATTACTTTCCGTTGTAAGTAGAACATGTCCCATGCTCCTCGTCTTCATTCTATTTTAAAAATTACATTTCTAGTGCCTAGAATGCTGTTAAGAATTCATGATATAAGCATCGATTGACACAACATACTGAACAAATACACCAAGAAATTATACTTAAAATCTTAAGTTGTTGTAGTTTAATGCTACAAAATCGCTCATGGAAATATTTTACTATATATGGCTTAATGTTGATTACAAAATATGTTTTCAATTTTTCCATACTCTCTATAAATTGTTCGCAAAAATACTCTCACGTATTTATACAGTACAATTTCAATTAGTCGGTTATCTTAATTTCCTGAAGAATGATTATCGATTACATTCATGAGCATGTGTACATGTATAAAGTCGTCTATTCACTTTTCTCCGGATGTTCACGTGAAAGAAGAGGTAAATAGAACAATCAAGGTAAAAGGAAAATGGGAAGGCCAAGTTACACATTACGCAGAAAAGTGAACGACGATTGGACAAAATTGGAAAGCGAAGCACAGGACAAAGTAGATTGGATAACATTGATCGTCGGCCTTTACTCCATTTGGGGTGACAAGCGTAGGTAAGAAAGTAAGTAAGTGAGTGAGTAAGTAAGTAAGTGAGTATGTAGGTAAGTGAGTAAGTAAGTAAGTGCATAAGTAAGTAAGCAAGTACGTAAGTAAGTAAGCAAGTAAGTAATTGATGAAGTAAGTAAGTAAGTATGTGAGTAAATAAGTAAGTAAGTAAGCAAGTGAGTGAGTAATTAATTAATTAATCAAGTAAGTAAGTAAGTATGTATGTAGGCAAGTGATTGCGGAAGTTAGTGAGTAAGTAAGTGAGTATGTAGGTAAGTGAGTAAGTAAGTAAGCGAGTATGTAAGTAAGTGAGTAAGTAAACAAGTAAATAAGTATGTCTTCTATTCACCAGATTTCCACACATACACGCATCCCTTAGCAAAAAAATAAAATACCACCGGGAAAGACAAAAATTTCCCCCCCAACCAAAGACTCAAAGTTACACAACTACTCAAACTAAATCACATCCAATGAAATTTATTTCAAAAATTTCAGAAAAACAAAGCATTTCAAAACAAACAAATAAAAAAAATCAGTCAATATTATTAGAAAAATAAGATTATCACGGAAAAAAAATACCAAAAAAATATTCTTATAAATTCACACCAATTAAATGATCGAATTCTGGTTGACTAGGAAAATACCAATAATTTCCTGTAACACAACGACTAAATCGCATGACATCATCATTTTGATGATCATCAGCATGACCAGTCATACGATCTAACATATAATCGAAATTTTCTGTACTCAATGCATAAGCCATAAATAATAGACCATTTTCACCGGATAAAGTACCATAAGGTTGAGATTGTCGAACCAAACGATATCTTGGTATTGTACCACTTATGGCGGCTTTTATTTTGTTTGAAAACGAACATAAAAATATTGATGAATGTTAATACACAAAAGAATTGAATTTAGAATGAAATAAAGTTTTTTTATTTGAAAATTCATGTCATTTGAAAAAAAAAACAACTTTTGACAAGTGCCAGGACAACAAGTTTACATATCTGGGCAGCATCATCGACGAGAAAGGTGGATCGGATGCAGATGTGAGGGCGCGGATTGGCAAAGCAAGGGCTGCATTTCTACAGTTGAAAAATATCTGGAGCTCCAAACAACTTTCAACCAAAACCAAAATAAGGATTTTCAATACAAATGTGAAGACAGTTCTACTGTATGGAGCGGAAACATGGAGAACTACCAAAGCCATCATTCAGAAGATACATGTGTTTATGAACAGTTGTCTACGCAAAATACTTCGTATTCGTTGGCCAGACACCATCAGCAACAACGAACTATGGGAGAGAACAAACCAGATTCCAGTGGGGGAGGAAATCAGGAAGAAGTGGTGGAGGTGGATAGGACACACACTACGAAAAGCACCCAACTGCGTCACGAGACAAGCCCTCACATGGAACCCTCGAGGCAAAAGGAAAAGAGGAAGGCCAAGGAACACTACGCCGAGAAATAGAGGAAGATATGAGAAGAATGAAAAAACATTGGACAGAACTGGAGAGGGAAGCCCAGGACAGAGTTGGTTGGAGAAAACTGGTGGGCGGCCTATGCTCCATTGGGGGTAACAGGCGTAAGTAAGTAAGTAAGTAAAAGGACAAAACAGGGGTTAATGTCGGTCCCAAGCTTGAAGAATACAGGAGGATGGTCAAGTATAGGGTTGAGAAGTTAGAGGCAGGCGCAATTTAACACTCGGAGTCAATTAAAAACGAAAACATTACATTGAAAACACTACTCTTTTTGCACACCATCTTTGAGTCGCGTGACTTCCAACGCTCCATCCTTCTTCCATTCCTGTTGGTACTCCAGTTACTTCTAGCCTTTGCTTCATTTGCTTTCCGTTTTCCTCTTCTGACCGTGAGACTTCTTCTTTCATGTCCCTTCTTATACTACTACTTATATCGTTCGTATAAGTAGCACACACCACAAGGTTAGCGAATTTATCATGTAGAAATGACAATCGTTAAATTAAAAGGCTAACCAGAAAATTAATTTGCTGGTCAGTGGGCCTATGCTTCATTAAGGGTAATAGACGTAAGTAAGTTGGTAAGTGTTATCATGCTGCTATTATGTAGCTATTCAAAATCCTACTGGCTGACCAAATTTAGATATTCCAGTACGACCCCAAAATCAGTCAGTCAAGGTGTACATTTCCAATCATTTACTCAGTCTAATAAAATCATTTACACACTTGCTATATCATAATATACTACTGATGTGTGTGGGTGTGACCGAAGTAAGCTTTCAACTAATCACATTGATGTCAGTAATTGGAGCCCAATTTGTAATTAATAATAGCAGCATTGATTGATTATTTTCTCTCACATCTCTTCTAGTCTTCAATAAGCTCTATTCACACTATGTTTCTTCAAAATTCTCCTCTCTGATAGCAACTTCTAGGCGATGCATTCAGGCATACTACTACTACTACTACTACTTATAAGCCACTTATGAGTAGCATCCATCATACCGTACAATCCAAATACGCAATGCTATGGATTATGTTGAATTTAAAGGGGCATTAACAAGCATTTGTGAATTTGTGTACTGATTGAGATACTTGCCTGGATGTCCAAACCGAAGCGAGTGGTTTTCTTAAGAGGACACTCCGCCAGCTGTCAACATACAAGTGTTTTTGCATATGGTAGCTGGTAACCAGCAACTAGATCATACACAGCATTTATCCCCCCATGAGGATCACTCAACCCATGTACAACATTGGTTTATAATCAGCGTTTTCCCCCGACCGTCTTAGGTGCATCCTCCACTATTACTAATCCGGTTGAAGCATCAATTATTCGCTTTATTTTCCTCTCGATTTCGTCAACAACACTCGCGCCGTGTAAAGGCAATGAGTAGGACTTCGCTGACAATGGTGAGTAAGAGAGAAGCCTCTACCTCCTTCTGAGCAGTAGCAAGAAATTTTGGAGGAAAAAATGGTTTTTTTTAAAAGTTAGATAAAAAATATATTTTTTTGATAATACTTACATCCAATCATTCTTGCAATATGTGATGTGATTGGTTTGTTGCGTAATTCAAAACTATTCTCAATAGTTCGACCAATCCATTTCTCTTTTACTTCATCTATCAACGTAAATCAATAAAAAAAGACGAATAAATAAAAACACTGTGTAGAATATTCAATCAGTCAATCAATAACGACGTAAAACTCCGTACGTACATACATCAGTTCATGTTGCCATACTACGTTGGGACAGAGATGTAACTGTCAATTCAAATCCAATAGTAATAGAGGAAGTAAAGGTGTAGTGAACGAGAACATAGGTGGGGCAACCGAATTGTATTTAACGGAAATTACAGAGTTACTCAGTAAAATTGGAAAACCATATCGTAAATCGTTAATTTGCAAACTATCAGTCCATCATATCAAACTGGACTGTTCCTGTTGCAAAACATCAATCCATTGTCACTATTCATGCGTTTCATACAAATTCCATTGTTTTCTAACTCTTCCTTTCTTGATCTTCCCCCATATTAAGATACCGGACATTACGTTGACACTCACGTCATATACTACTTATAAGTAGCTCACACCACAAAGGTATTAGAAGTAATTGGAGAGGTTCGGATTAGAAGATATCATTCAAGAAGTAGAATCTAGTGAAAGAAACTTAAAAATATAAAGATAAAGTGATGAAGAATTAAAAGTTTGGCACTTGAGAGAACACAAAGAATAAATGCACCGGTACCATTGCGAACGGTTTTGAGCCATGTCACTCAGGGTCTCTAACAATCGATTACTAACGGACCCCAAACAGGTAGTCGACACCTACCGACATGACTCAGTCCATTCGTCAGTGACTTCATGGATTTGTGCCATGTTTTGGTTTGGCCGCCCTTAGCTTTCGTCCAAGCTATTCTTACATCGCAAAACATAGCTTTACGAGGCAGTCGGTGGTTAGGTATACGCAGCACACGTCGCAACCACCTCAACCGATGAAGTTTCACCAATTCATCCATTGGTCTGCCATCCTTACCTAGCACCCGTTTCCTAATAACAGCATTGCTCACTTGGTTGTCCCACGATACATGAGCAATGCTTCGAAGACACCTATGATCGAAAACCAATAACCGACGAATATCTTCTACTCTCACTGGCGATGTTTCACAGCCATAAAGTAAGACGGAGCGAACTACTGCGCAGTACACTCGTCATTTAGTCAGCAAACAAATATCTCACCTGCCCCATAAGTGACGCAGGTTGGCAAAAGCCAATCGAGCCTTCTATATCCGTGCAGAGATTTCGTTAGAATGTTACTTGCTCAATAATTCGATCACATTATATAATTCAAAGACCAATATTACAGGACATCATATCAGTTTAAAGATGGGGATAAACTCCACATTGTTAAGTCATCCAAAAGTTAGAATATTTTTAGTCACACCAACTAATGTTGTAACACTGATGAACTGAAGGAATAATCTACACAGAACCATATCGAAATTGATAATCCTCATTTCATTCTGATTGACTATCAGGTACAGGGCTATAATGGAGAACGAGAGTGGAGTTTTTCCCGGGGTTTGTTGATTAAGAGTTTTGCATTACGGGGTTGTGAAGATTGTCAAGTTACACATTTTTGAAATCATGAATCGATCAATATTAGTCCACCATTAGAAACCTGGAAGCACTGGACGGCCGTCTCGTCCTGGTATGGGACTGCTCAGCAACGCGCACCCACGACCCCTGCACCCCGCAGGATTCGAAACCAGGACCTTCGGTATTGTGCGCGAACGCCCTAACAGTTAGACCACTGAGCCGGTATCCAACGGCGTTAATGTCTAACTTGATCGATTCACGGAGTTGCCCAATCTCATACACAGTCTTCGGTAGTAGTTACTGTCTATTCCCGAACAGGCTGAACTTCACCGGTCACGTCTTCCCAATAGAACTCGGAGAAGATTCCTCACAAATCTAGTCACTAGTGAGCACAGGTAATTTCCATTACGGGGTTGTGAAGATTGTTAAGTTACACATTTTTGAAACCATGAATCGATCAATGTTAGACCACCATCAGAAACCTGGTCTATCGGTTAGGGCGTTCGCGCACAATACCGAAGGTCCTGAGTTCGAATCCTGCGGGGTGCAGGAGTCGTGGATGCGCACTTCTGAGGAGTCCCATACCAGGACGAAACGGCCGTCCAGTGCTTCCAGGTTTCTAATGGTGGTCTAACATTGAACGACTAAGAGTTTTAAAAAAATTACATTTCAACACAATGAAGAATCCAAAATACTTACAGTTAATTAAAACAAAACAATTATGAATAATAAATTTGAGGTTTAAAAAAAAACAAAACAAGAAAAAAGTACTCATTTAGTTTTTTTTATAAACAAAAAGCTAATGTTGTTTCTTGTGATCTTGAATGATTCGGGTTAAAATGACATTTTTCCTTACACATACTGAAAATTGAAAAGTTTCGCAATATATTATTTTTTGCGCATTTATTTAACATGTGTATCAATTATCAAGTGTTTATTAAATTAATAATACGAAACATTTCATAAAATAAAAAAAGTTAAACTGCGAAATAACAAAAAAATACATATATACATATATTTTTATGTTTTGTTTGTTTTAATCGAAAGTGCAAATGTTAAATTATTCAGTTTTAATATTCAATATTCAATGTCATATGCATAAATGTTATGATGCATTTTGAAAGTAATTTGTATATGAAAAACTAATTATTCATTTGTATTGTTTCACTGAAATGACTACTTGGTTGGGGTCGGCGAGATGTTTTACTGATCGATGGTTAGAGACCCTGAATGACATGTCTCAAAATCGTTTGCAATGGCACCGGTGCATTTATTCTTTGTGTTCTCTCAAATACCAAACTTTGTTAATTCTTCATCACATTATCTTTATCTTTTTAAGTTTATTTCACTAGATTCTACTTCTTGAATAATATCTTCGAATCATAAGCTCTCCGACTACTGCTAATACCTCTACTACCTCTACTACTATTGGATTCGATTTGACAATTAGATCTCTGTGTTAATGTGGTATGGCAACATGAACTGATGTATGTACGCACGAAGTTCTACGTTGTTATTGATTGATTGATTGTTGCACTGAAATCAAGGATTGATCAATGTTAGACCACCGTTAGAAACTTAAGAATCACTGGACAGTCTTTTGCTTGATTTCATGGTTCCAATGAAAGTCACCAGTCTCCATAACCGTTTATTTGAAATTATCATATGGTCACTAGTGACTAACTTCTCTTTCTCTTCTCTTTCTCCTGGTCATCGGCTGGATTATGAAGACGTCAACATCTGGAGGGAAGCACGGTATCAACTGGACAGTTAGGACGCAGCTCGACGATCTGGGCTTCGCAGATGACCTGGCTCTTCTATCGCACACTCAACAACAAATGCAAGAGAAGACGACCAGTGTAGCAGCAGCCCCTGCAGCAGTAGGTCTCAACATACATAAAGAAAAAAGCAAAATTCTCCGATGCAACACAACATGCACCAACCGAATCACGCTTGATGGAGATACCTTGGAGGACGTTAACACTTTCACATATCTGGGCAGCATCATCGACGAGAAAGAACGATCGGACGCAGATGTGAGGGCGCGGATTGGCAAAGCGAGGGCTGCATTTCTACAGTTGAAAAATATCTGGAACTCCAAACAACTTTCAACCAAAACCAAAATCAGCATTTTCAATACAAATGTGAAGATAGTTCTACTGAATGGAGCGGAAACTTGGAGAACTTCGAAAGGTATCATCCAGAAGATACAAGTGTTTAATAACAGTTGTCTACGCAAAATACTTCAGATTCGTTGGCCAGACACCATCAGCAACAACGAACTGTGGGAGAGAACAAGTCAGATTCCAGTGGAGGAGGAAATCAGGAAGAAGCGATGGAAGTGGATAGGACACACATTACGAAAAGCACCTAACTGCGTCACGAGACAAGCCCTCACATGGAACCCTCAAGGCAAAAGGAAAAGAGGAAGGCCAAGGATCACACTACGCCGAGAAATAGAGAAAGATATGAGAGGAATGAACAAACATTGGACAGAATTGGAGAGGGAAGCCCAGGACAGAGTTGGTTGGAGAAAACTGGTGAGCGGCCTATGCTCCATTGGGGGTAACAGGCTTAAGTAAGTAAGTAAGTATGTACAAGTAATATCAAAGTGCAATCGTTTATGACCTTATCATAAATAAACAATTTAAACAAATCGTTGCTTCAGGATCAACTTCCGCGGGCGCCGAAACTAGTGGTTGGGAGTGAAGTAGTTGAGCATGTTGACTGCTTCACTTATCTGGGGAGTCTCATCAGTGCTGATAGCTTGGTGTCTGAAAAAATCTCAGCACGGATGAAGAAGGCTCGAATGGTTTTTGCTAATTTATGTCACTTATGGCGTAGACGAGATATTGGTCTACTAACCGAAAGATGAGTCTACTGAACAACGGGTCGCTCCGTTCTGTTTGACAGGTATGAAACATGGCCAGTACGTGTAGATGATATTCGTAGGCGTCTTCAAAGCCTTGCTCATATATCCTAAGACCACTGATAAAGCAATACTGTTGTTAAGAAATGAGTTTCAGGTAAGGAAGTCAAATTAATTGATGAAGTAGTGAATTTTCATCAGTTGAGATAGTTGCGACATGTGTTACGTATGTCCAACCACAGACAATTCCAGTGAATGGTGTTCTGTGATGTGGGAGTAGGCTGAAAGAAAGCTATGGTTAGCCATACCAAAACGTGACATAAATCCTTGAGGTCATTAATAATTGAACTGAGCCATAGTAGTAGATATAGACTAACAGGTTGGGATCTTCGAGACAATCGTTAACGATAGTTAGAGTCTTTGAATGACATGGTTCGAAACCGTTTGCAATGGTCCAGCTGCATCCATTCTTTGTCTTCGCTCAAACTTATAATCTTCTGAATTCCATATGACTTTTTCTGGCTACCTAAGTGTATTTCGCTGAGAAATACTTCTCGAATCATATCTTTGAACGATAATCTTCTCCATCACTGCTTACACTTTTCAACCTCTACTACAATAGGATTTGATAATTAGCTCTCAGTGCGAATGCAATACTGCAACTTGAACTGATGTACGTACATTTAAAGTGATGCTTTGTAACTAACTGGCTGACAGAAAAAAACCTTTTAATACAAACTTAAACACAAATAGAACTAGTCTTTGATTAATAATCCTAGTTAAACTGCTTTAGAATGCAATGAATTAGGTGTAAAAATGAGATTGAAGTTACAAATTCATTTTGCTACTTGAAACTCATCATCTAAATGTCTTTTAATCTAAAAGGCAATTAAACTTAATGCTCAGTTAACAATGCACTGATGGTTTAAAACAAAACAATCTGCATCCGAGCTCCAATGAACAAGTCTTAAATATGATGATATGAATGTGTTATTCTCAGTCAGTCAGATGCAACGTAGAACTTTGTACATAAGTACGTCAGTTCATGATGCCATACCACATTAGCACACAGAGATGTAATTGTCAATTCAAATCCAATAGTAGAAGAGGTAGTAAAGGTATTAGAAGTAATCGGAGAGTTTAGGATTAGAAAATATTATTCACGAAGTATGATTCAATGAGATAAGTTTAGAAAGTCAAAACTAGAGGTGTTGAAGAATCCAGAAGATTAGCATTTGAGAGAACACAAAGAATAAATGCACCGGCACCATAGCAAACGATTTTGAGCCATGTCATTCAAGGTCTCTAACCATCGATGATTATCATCTCGTGGACCCCAACCAGGTAGTTGACAACTACCGACATGACTCAGTTCACTTGTCAATGACTTCATGGATTGCTGCCATGTTTTGGTCTGGCCGCCCCTAGCTTTCTTCCAACCTACTCCTACACCACAAAACAAAGCTTGTCAAGGCAGTCGGTGGTAATGTGTTATTCTCCACTCATATGAATATTATCCCTGTAATTGAGGAGTCTTATGCGGTCAGAACATTGACAATTACGCTATTGCAATAAAAATATGTTCCAACATGAGTATGTTTGAGCCTATTTGTATCTAGATGGGCTTCATCGCTTACTATCCTATGCCACACGACGTATATACCATGAGCTTTCGATCATAGGTGTATTCGAAGCATTGCTCGTATACCGTGGGACACCCGAGTGAGCAACGCTGTTATTAGGAATCGGGTGCTAGGTAAGAATGGCAGATCAATAGATGAAGTAATGAAACTTCATCATTTGGGGTGGTTGGGACATGTGTTACGTATTTCCAACCACCGACTGCCTCGTCGAGCCTTGTTTTGTGGTGTAGGAGTAGGTTGGAAGAAAGCTAGGGGCGGCCAAACCAAAACATGGCACAAATCCATGAAGTCAATGACGAGTGGACTGAGCCATGTCGCTAATTGTCGACTACCTAATTGGGGTCCGCGAGATGATAATAATCCATGGTTAGAGACCTTGTATGACATGGTTCAAAATCGTTCGCAATGGCGCCTGTGCATTTATTCTTTGTGTTCTCTCAAATCCTAATCTTCTAGATTCTCCAACACCTCTAGTTTCGACTTTCTAAACTTTTCTCACTGAATCATACTTCTTGAATAGTATCTTCTAATCCTAACCTCTGCGATTACTTCTAATACCTTTACTACCTCTTCTACTATTGGATTTGAATTGACAATTACATCTCTGTGCTGATATGGTATGGCGACATGAACTGATGTACTTATGTACAAAGTTCTACGTTGCATCTGACTGACTGACTGAAAAACCTAAGTCAAGCTTTTCAATAAGGAATTTTCTAATCAAATGCATATTAAAACAGTTTATTTCTTACCTGGTGTTCTTCGTAATAAATTCATATTGTGTATCCATTTCTGGACTAGAGCATAACTTCCACCGGTACGTATATTAATAGCTACTTCAGCTCGTTCATTTCGATCTTTTGGATTCATTGTACCTTAACAAAACAAATTTTAAAAATTTCCATAAATCTTTTTTTTAACGTGTTAGTAAAAAACCAATTAATTTGATTCTTATTGTTTTATTGTGGATATGAGTGAGTATTTAATATTTCCCAATAAATATGACAGTCTAGTCAGTTGACTGCAATAATTCCAGTCAGGCTGGCAGTTTCTAATGAATTTTTATGTCCGGCTGATTTGAATGAGTACGTTTATATCATGGTGATAGGGTTTCTGAATCTTATTAGCTACTACGTCAGACAGACAGACAGTTAGATACAACGCAGAACTTCGTACGTAAGTACATCAGTTTAAGTTGCCAAACCACATCAGCACAGAGACGCAACTGTCAGTTCAAATCCAAGAGTGATAGCAATAATAGAAGTATTAGCAGTAATGGAGAAGATTAGGAAGCGAAGATATATATATATTTCAGTGAGATAACTTTAGAAATAGAAAGATAGAGATTACGAGGAATTCAGAAGATTAGAATTGGAGAAAACACAAAAAATGAATGTGCCTACGCCATTCCATACGATTCTGAGCCATGTTGTTCAAGGTCTCTAACCATTGGTAACTTTCGTCTCGAGGACCTCA